GCCCCGGCCCCGGCCCCGGGCGGGCTCTGCAGGCTGCTGGTGGCTGGGGTTATTTAAAAGAGCGAGAGGAGAGCAAGGGCAAAGTGATGCAATCCTTTAAGCATGGCTGGGAATGCTGTGTACATGATGCAATCTCGTGTAACTGTCAGTCATGAATTGAGTAATCTGTTAAAGATGTTCCTACAGTTTTTTTTATTATAAAGAATAATCTATTTCTATAAGAAAATACATATGTATATTTTGGGATCTATGCATTCTTGCTACATTTGAAGCATTAATGAACAATTTTAATAAACTTTATGACTAGGTTAAAAAAATAGCTTGTTTTATTTTGAAGGCACGTTTAAAGGTAGATTAAACGCAGGGTTGAAATTCTAGCTGAATCTGGCTCACCGCTGTGATCAGGGATCAGGATTTTTGTTGGTCTTTCGACTTTCTCTGTGACTCAGAGAAAGGAAAACAAAACAGAACAAAAAACCAACAACCCCAAGAGAAACCCAGCAAAGAGCAGAGCTGGAAGCTTTAGCCAGTTCTTGTTGCCTCATTTTATTTCCTCTCATCACTTGCTTTAGGTGCCACTGGGGTGTTGTTTGGGGAGGAGGTGTTTGTGTTGGGGTTTTTTTTGCACTTCTTGCTGTTCCGAATGTGTAGAGCGAGATGTGCTATCCAAACCATGACCAATCTTTGGCAAAGGAACACCAAGTCTGAAGTGGGAGGGAGGAAGAAAAAGTAAGGGAGGACGCTTAAAAGTTGGTTGTTTTTTTTTCCTTTACAGAGTTTCTATTCTCTAGGTTATGATTCAGCATTTCTTATGTTTGTAGTTTACAGGAATAAACATGAGAAAGTAGCATTTCTGTTGGATGTCGGTAATTTCGGTCGTTGCTCAGGAAGCTCTCATGAAACCCGGCCAGGTGAGAGGCATATGAACAACTCCCTTATCTGTTCTCTTGAGACGTGTTTCTAAAACCTGTAGATAAGAGTTTCTCTGTGGAGAGGTGTTTGTTTCTGTGTGCATGCGTGTTTGTTGGGGGCAAGGGGGGGGGGGGGGGGGGGGGGGGGTTTGCAGAGGAGGAAGAAGCTTGTAGCAGGCCATAACTTTGTTTTAGAGAGAACTAAGGCTCTGTCTGCCGATGGAACAAGCCAGCCTTGCCAGGGCTCCCAGGTTGTGTTACTTCCCCCACCGTATGCTGCTGTGTCAAGGTCTGTAAGAAGTTAACAGTCTCAAGCTGGTTACGTGGAGGGAGTTGGGCAAATGATCGGGTCTTACTCAGCATTTTCCATTTTCCTGTTAGGCCAAATTTAAGCGTTAAGTTTTTAGATCCAGATTCCCAGTGCCCCAGAAAACAAACTCCTTAATCGTCTATGCTCTGTTTCACAGCTGAACGCAGAAGGATTTTTCAGTATAAAGATAGTGGACTTGAATTTGCTGCTATACATTCCAATACAAACAGCAGTGGATTGCAGAAGGACAGATCTTGAATTTGTGGCTTATTTCTAGCGTTTCTTTAAGCAAAGCATGTTTTCTCCTGAAAGAACTGTTCTGCTTTTTTTGACATTTAAGATTATAGCCTCCTGCGGGTGAATCTCCCAGAGCTCTTACTGAAATTTGTTACACATTCCCTGCTCCCACAATGCCTCCATAGCTCCTGCTGGGAGCTGTGCAGTAGTAAGCAGTGGAGTGTTAGTCCCGATACAGATTTCTCCCGTTTGCTTTTTAATTTGTACAGTGCAGTTAAGTTGTTTTTGTGAGACCCTAAGAATAGATTTTCTTGGGTGAGCTAGCTCCTATACCAGCATGACTCAAGTTCTTGCAGGCAAGATAGACGTTAGATCTTGTCTTGACTGTCCCTCGTGACGATGATTACTCCAGCCTCCTGTGGCTGTTTATTCTACTATTCTTCTAGTTACGAAACTTATCCACATCGTTAGATCCTATTTTCTTGTTGTGCTGTAGGCCATGTAATGTTACCCAAACTTTCAAGCAGTGTTCCCAGTCAGAACCGAGTGCTGCGGAGGGTGGAACTGCTGGAGGACTGAAGATGTCCTCAGATACATTTCTTTCTTTCTTTCTTTCTTTATAAATGACAAAGCTTCCAACAAAAGTTCAGTTTGTGGGGGCTGGAAGGCAGGGTAGACTGAAAGATAAGATGTACTAAAGGTATTTATATTTGTTTAAATAATAGTCCAGTTTTGGAGATAGAGCTCTATCAGGCATGAATGAGCTAATCCCTGTCCTTAAACTTTGGCTGCCACAGTTCAGGAGAGCCAGGGCGGTGTTGCTGCAATTTAAAGAATGATGTTTGAAGTACTGCTGTATTCCAATGTATCTCTTAATTAGGATTACAGATTTCTCATTCAGGAGGAAACGTGCAGCAATGAGTTTTTGTCAGAAAGATGCAATTACAGACAGGAAAATCGAGGCCATGAATGCACCAATTTTACAGTAGTCTCAGAAGGAATCCGTGAAAGAGTCGGAAAAAGAATTCCTGAATCCGTCATTCTTAATCTTGTATTACCCACATAGCTTAGATTTTAGGAGCTTTGTAGTGCTATTAAATGCATGGAGGTCATGAAATACCCTGCTTTATAAACAAGCATATGAAAAAGCCCCTGTAATTAAAACATTTCCTAGAAAAAAATAGTCTGGAAAAAAATAGTTTGGAAATGAATCTGAGAAAACTCCAAGCACTAAAGTAGACAAAAGATTCCAAATACCTTTTCTAATCACAGTGGGGGAATTGGAAAATCCCTGTCCAAACAGTGGCTCAGCTCCAAATATTGATACAGTTTCCCATTACAAATAAGATTCCGTTGACTGAAAGCAGTACTTGGTACGTCTCGGTTGTCTTCTAACAGGGTCTTTTGCGCTCCTTTTCCTAAAGCGACTCAGTACAGCTTGTGGTAAGACTTTGCAGTCCATATGCAGGCAAACCATGCAGAGAAGTTAAGGCACTTACTCCAGTAGTCTGTTTTGAATTTTATGGAAGTTTATAAACAGCTTTTCGTTTGGGTTTTTTTTTTTTTTCCCCCCTTTCAAATTATTTATTACGTTGTCTGATTCCTACAGGTCTTTCTCATTGCTACTAAAATAACAGAGTTTCTTCCTATGTAGAAATAAGTCTGTAAGACCAAATCCCTAGCACTGACATCCCCTTTCCGAAGCGTCTAGCACCGTTTTATCATTTGCTAGGTGTTTGAATTCAGTTGTGCTCAGTTCTGCAAAAGGAATCATATGTATCATTTTAAAACAAAATATTTAAAAATACAATTATAATTTTGTTAGCGGTTCTTCTATCTGTTAATAGAAATTATTACTCTCTGCTTATCTGCCCAAAGCATGTATAACCAACCCCGTGCAGCTCTGGCACTGTGCTGTTGCTTTCACACTTTTCCCGCTGCCTTCCATTAGTGACTCTTGGAAATGCAGGAAAATTCACGCTTATTTCTATACTAATTGTTTCTCCTCTATCAAATAAAATCACCCAAATTGCACACACGTACCAAAGGGTTATTGGGCGGGAGACTTGATCACATTTGATAACAGTATGGTTTTTTCCTCACTGAAGTTCTGCAATAGCCTTCAGATATCAAAATCACAACCTGAAAAAAGCTTTGTGCACAATGTTTACCTTTACAGTTTCATTGCTAGAACAACTGTGATTGATGTGGATGTGTATAAAAATATGAAGTTACTCTCATACTAGCTAGTTTTCAAGCAATGTTTCATTAGCTGTGACCAGAATAAAAGTCAATGCAACTCAGTATCTGCTTTAATAAAGAGAAAAAATGTATATGAGGCCAAATTACACATCTTCTTTTGTTATTTATAGTGGTATCGCTTAAGATACAATAAGCATTGTCTTGCATTTGCCTGTCATTCATACCGACACGAAGTGAGTCTAAAGCACCACCAAACTGGAATGGCAGGGTTCTGCATTCAGTTTGTACTTGATACAGATGATTATATGGTGGACGGGGGGTAATGACGGATTTGGTTCTACCTCTTTTTGCTACCAATGGCTAACGCAAAAAAAATTTTTATTACTACTCTCCTGAGTGTTAGCCTTTTTTATGTTTAAGTCTACGCAAATGCTTAACAGTCAGAATTTTAGGGCAAACCTCATATACTAATGTGAAGTGTGAAGAAAAATTTAAACCTATGCATGTATGTTGAAAGCGTACTAATACATTAATCAGGAAATCCAAACAAAACTAGGAATATAATTAACTACTCCCAAGGAAACAATTCCGTTCAAATTCTGAACAGTTTTTTTAATCAATCAAGAAAGTAAAAATAAAACCATGTGGCCAAAAGTGTACATTAAATATGTGAGGGAATTAGTTCTCTTTTGAGAGATACTCGCTGAACAGACAAGTGAAACCATTAAAAGAATGAAGTTCTATTTAACTCTTTGCTAGGACCCAAAACATACTCTGAGAGTTTAATCTTTGCAACATAAAGCTGAACTTTGGTAGAAACTCTACACTTGGATAAT